AAACATAGGAAGAACCTCTCTAGGCTTAGGGTTTAGGGTTTAGGGTTTTAGGGCTTAGGGTTTTTCGAAACATAGGAAGAACCTCTCTAGGCTTTAAGGCGGACTCCTGATTTAACTGGTTTTGGAGTCTCCACATAGGGTACCATAGCGACCCTTTAATATAGATACCTCAAAGGAACCCGCAAAGAAGCCTCTAAAAGGATATGTTTAAAGGATCTCTTAAAGCAGCCCCTAACCCTAAACCCTAAACCCCAACAAAGCCCAATACCCCTTAAATAAGGAATATATACCTTAAATCATAATATTAGGGCCCCTATAATTTAAGGTATATTCCTTATTTAAGGGGTATTGGGCTCTCTGGGCCCTGAATGAAAGCAGCCCTTAGAGGAAGCCACTGGACTGAAGAAGGGAAGCCCTCTCGGCGCCTTCTGGCTAGCCTTCTCTGCTGCCTTGCGCGCCCTTCCGGCGCCCTCGATGCGCCGCTTCTTCTCGCCCTCCTGGAAGAAAGTGAGTAGGGTTCACGCCTTGGGGATTTGAGTTTGGAATTTTTTTTGAGGGCCTGTTTGAATTCAAGGATGACGGGACTCAGCAAGTAGCGCATGAAGTAAGGCTGCCGCAGCTAAGTGACTCATAACCAGAGTTGAGGTACTGATCACACTGACACTTTTAGCATAAAAGTCTTGAACTTGGGTTGGGTTTGGGGTTCATACTCCTAGATTTCCGTAGGGAGTGTGCGTCTTTGGTTTGGGGGCTCTATACCGGGGGCTTAATTGCTTAAGGTCTTGATTGCCCTTCATTTGCGGGTAATTCTGTTCTTATAGCTGTAGCTACTTTACATCACTGTTTCGCCCTTCAAGTAGAGCTCTAATAGCCCGTTGTGGTGGGAGGACCTTTAGGTGGAGGTAAAACCCTGACACCCAAGTGCTTGACTTAGACCAAACCCTCTAAACCCTAAACCCCGTTTTTACCCTACAACCCCCAAACCCCCCAGCTCTGACTGGCCAGCATGCTAGAGAGGGGTCGGAAGAAGTGGCGATCACACCCTCGTAGAATCCTTGAAAACTATACCCCGCCCGCAACCCTAAACCCTAAGCCCTAAACCCAAAACCCTAATTCAGTCCCCTATATTACAGCCCTTAAAAGTCGACCTGAAAGCTCTCAAGCCAAGAAACCCTGAAGCACGATAAAAAGCCTTCAACCCCAAAGCCCGAAAGCCTGAATCCCCAAAACCCGTTTAGGGTTTAGGGTAAACCCCCAAACACCCTAAACCCTAAACCCTAAACCCTAAACCCTAAACCCTAAACCCTAAACCCTAAACCCTAAACCCTAAACCCTAAAACACCACCAAAGCCCTAAGATGCCTCAATCATCGTTAAGGTGGCCTCATCTGCTGTCTCGGCCCTCGAGCCGCGGCCCCCAAACCCGCAAGGCTGAAACGTTCACCCAAAAACCACGGTTTAGGGTTTAGGGTTTAGGGCTTAGGGTTTAGGGTTTAGGGTTTAGGGTTTAGGGCTTAGGGTTTAGGGCTTAGGGTTTAGGGCTTTGGGGTTGGGGTTTAGGGTTTAGGGCTTAGGGTTTAGGGCCTAGGGTTTAGGGTTTAAGGTCATCTTCTATCAGTTTATGGATGGTCTCCCAGATTGGGGGTCCCTTTTTACGACCCCAAAATAGTACAGCACGCTCATACAAAGGACCGTAAAGGGGATAATGAGCGATGCTGCTACGAACTATTCAGAGTCCCTTCTGCATCCTTGTTCTCTGTTGTGATGGCTGAGGCCCGTGCTTGCACCAAGCCACCCATCCCAGGTGCCCTAAACCCTAAACCCCTAAACCGTGCCTGCCGTATAAAATTTGCCACCCCGCAAAACAGCTTTCTGGATGGTCTCCCCAGATGCGGTAAGCCATGGCATACAGTCAGTCGCTGTTGTCGTCCACCACATGGGTCGTGGCAAGCGCTGCAGCTTCTCGTCTTTTCTGCTGCCGTTCCCAGAGAACCCACATTTCATTTGCATGCGCTCATAGCGGAGGGCGGTTTCGCGGATCTCGGAATAAGTGGCATGTTCCGTAAGCACAGAGGCGAGGTGGTTCTTCATCTGACCGGTAATGCACTTCAGCAAAATCGACGCCTTGAAGTCATCATCCACTTGCTTGCTAGATGATTTCTCGTACTCATCAAACATGCGTTCAAGCTCGAGCAGCTGGGCCAGAAGAGGCTCATTGTTGCGGAAGGTATGTACCTGGGTAAGCGCTGTAGGTATACCAAGACTCCTGGTACGTGAGGTCGGTTGAAACGGTTGTATGAGTTGTCGTAGTGATTCGTATCCATTGGAGTTGGGTACACCCTGTATGAGCTGCAGTCCTCGGCCACGAACAAGTCCGGCCAGGAGGGCGTTTAAATTATAGGGGCTCTAATATTATGATTTAAGGTATATTCCTTAATTAGGGGGTTGTGGGCTCTCTGGGAGGTGTACTTGCATTTCCGGAATTCCCAGCGAAACCGCAGGTCTCACGAACAAGTTCTGCGGGCCCTCGGCTTGCTGACTCTCGATATGACGGTCACAGCAGCACGGACGCAGGGTTTAGGGTTTAGGATTTAGGGTTTAGCCATCTTAGGTAGATGTCAGAATTAGACCGAGGTTTCAGTGAAGCTCAGCCTGTTTTTGCGTCTACTTCAGCGGCGCATCTGCGCAGGACTGCCCAAACTTGGTCACCCCAAGGCCCTCATTACCGTCGATAGAGATACTTGGGTTTAGGGTTTAGGCTTTAGGGTTTTGGGTTTAGGGTTGTGAAGATTTCGAATGTTCGCCCACGGACTGTCCTCGGTCATCCACTCAAACTGCCAGCCGTGGCGGGCGCAGAGTGCCCTTCAGAGGGGGAGCGCTTTCAGGCTTAGGGATCATTCGGCCTGAATCCTGAATTGCACTCGCAACCTGCTCGACCCCCAAACCCAATAAACCCTATAAACCCTACAAACCCTATAAGCCCTATAAACCCTATCAACCCTATAAACCCTACACGCCCTATAAACCCTGTAAACCCTAAAAAGCCTACAAACCCTATCAGCCCTATAAACCCTATAAACCCTAGAAGCCCTATAACACCTATAAACCCTAAAAGCCCTATAGGCCCTATAAACCCTAGAAACCCTGAACCCTTGACGACGTACCAGACCGGCAGGAAGAAGGCCCCCTGAGAGCCCAATACCCCTGAATAATTAGGGTTTAAGGTTTAGGGTTTAGGGTTTAGGGTTTAGGGAATATACCTTAACTCATAATATTAAGGCCTCGAAATAATTTAAGGTATATTCCTAAACCCTAAACCCTAAACCCTTATAGATCCCCTTTAAGGCCCCTAGAGTTTAAGGTATATATTCCTTACATAAGGGGTAAGTTGGGCTCTCTGGGAGAAAAGCTCAAAGGCGCTCTAACCGCAAGCTCCAAGGCGCCGGGACTCTCATACAGGGGCCTCGATAATTAGAATAGGGT